TCTAAATCCGAAATAAATGATGAATATAGACATGGATTTGTGAAATATAATAACTTTATGATAAAGAACACTTACCCAGTTCAAAGTAGTGAAAATCCCCCTTGAAATCGCCCAAATCCGAGACTCAAAACTCANGTGAAATCGCCCAAATCCAAGACTCAAAACTCAAAAATGAGTAAAAATGGCTAAGACCCGATTTTATGTATTCTGCCCAGCATTTTCACATCTGCGGTGCCTGGGCTCGCACATGCGAGCTCGCATCTGCGAGAAAAATCTCGCATCTGCGAAAAGGGGCTGCCAGGCGAGGTTCCGCTTCTGCGGACAAAATGTCGCACCTGCGACGTCCGCTTCTGCGCAAAAGGGCCGCACCTGCAAAGGCCGCATCTGCGATGGAAGTCTCGCTTCTGCGAGCTTGCACCTGCGGTCAAAATTCCGCAGGTGCGATTATACCAGAACCCAAATTTCAGATTTTTGCTTAAGTCCAATTTTTGTTCCGATTTCAATCCGTTTCACTCTCGGGGTACTCGGGACCCCGCTCGAATATACCAACAAGTCCCGTAACATAATACGGACTGACTCGGGGTCTAAAATCACATCAAACACACTGAAATTACAATTCACACCCCGATTTGAACTTTGAGTTTTAAACTTTTAATTTATAAATCTCGTGCCAAAACATATTAAATGAATCCAGAATGACTTCAAATTTGGCACACAAGTCATAAATGACATAACGGAGCTGTTCAAATTTTCAAATCGGATTCTGGTTCCGATATCAAAAAGTCAACCCCGTGGTCAAACTTGGAATATTTAGCCTTTAAATTGCTAGTTCCGTTAAATGGTCATAACTTGAGTTAGGGACTTCCAAATTAAATTCCGGGCATACGCCCAAGTCCCAAATTACGATACGGAGCTACTAAAATTTTTAAAATACTGATCCGGATCCGTTCGCTCAAAATATTGACCAAAGCCAACATAGTTGAGTTTTAAAGCTCTATTTCCCATTTTTAATCCATTTTTCACATGAAAACTTTCCGAAAAATTTTACGGACTGCGCACGCAAGTCGAGGAATGATAAATGATACTTTTCGAGGTCTTAGAACACAGAATTACTTATTAAATTTAAAGATGATATTTTGGGTCATCACAAGACAATTTATATATACAGTTCAACAATATCAAGCGGTAAAAAGTGAACAAGTAGCACATTAGGCCCAAATAAATCAATATATATACAAAAATTAATAAAGCCAAATGAAGTCAATGTACAAGCTCGAATTCTTGAAGTCCCCAGCAGAGTTGCCAGAGCTGTTATACCCCTTTTTACCCCAAAAAGTATACGTGTTATGGATTGTGGGTTAAAGCGTTTTTCCGATTGAAGTGACAATTTTGAAATATGGATTATTTCATTGTTCAGAGTCGCCACTTGGAATTGATTTTTGGGTGTTCCAAGTCAAATTTTATTTGAATCCCTAGTCAAAGAAATGTTTGACTCTATGATTATTGGTCTGCGAAAATAAAGTCCGGGTAAGGAATTCTGTTGACCGGGGAGAAGGTGTAAGGCATTCCCCGAGTCCCGTGGTTCTAGCACGGTCGCTTTATTGACTACATTTGGCTTATATTATTTTTTGGATAAATTGTGTTTTATTGATTTTCATGTTTTACATATCCTCTTTTATTTCTTGATTATTGAAGAATGTTTTGAATAATAAGTCATAACCACACTATGCAAGCGAATGCGTGATCGAGATAAAATTTATTAATTTTGTCATAACAGCGCTACGCAAGCGAATCCGCAGTCATGGCAAAGGATTATTAGCACGTTATTACTTAAGAAAAAACAATTACTACATTTGTCCTTTGAGAAAACAATGACCAGCATATGAATCAAAATGGATGTCTTTGTATTGTATTGGGCCTCTACAGAACTTATCTTATTTGGCCCAATCTTTTGTTTGAATCTAGACCCCACAACTCATCAACTTGGTCCCAACAAATCCAAGCTAAAGCAGTAAATCCTTAGCCTAAATTCTTTAACATTGTTCCTGAAATTCTTCCTCCTAGAGTGTGCTAGGTTAATACAGTGTAGTGATGAAAATATTTTCACAAATAAATACCAATATCAACATGATTCCCCAATAGAACAACATAGAGATAAAAAGTGATATAGGCATTGAACTAAAGATATTAACACGAGAACGAAAATAATACTTCATTCAAGCGTAAGATCCATAATATAGAATACCAATTTCAACATTATCAAGATTAAGGCAAGGAATGAACCTCAAAGTTTTGAATCTGAACTTTCAACATTTAACAGCTCTGAAATCCAAAAGCGAACAAGATCATGAACGACCCACCACTCGAACTCGGCGAACTTGGCGGACTCGTCTCGGACCTCGACTCGACTCATAAACTTTAGCTATTTTTCTGACGGTGTTTTGGAGGTGAGAAGCTCAGTTTGAATGGTGTTTTGGGGACTGTTTCAGCTGGGTTTTTCAGTTGGTTTTTGGCAGCATTTTTGGAGTATTTTTAACTATTCTAGAGCGGTTTCGGCAGCGGGTTTATGCTGATTTTCGCTAGCTTTTGGGGGCTATTTTTGGGGTTGTTTTGCGTTGATTTTAATAGAGGATAGGGGCTGGATTTGAGTTCGTTTTTGAGGTAAAACAGTGGTGCTTCGGGGCTGCTTTCAGCTGAGTTTTAATAGAGAAAAGGGGCTGGTTTCATGAGTGTCTTGGAGCTAAGTTTCATGGGTGCTCTGGGGTGGTTTTGGGTGGTATTTTGGGGGGTAAAAGGAGCTGGATTTTGGAGCTCTAACATGGTTAAAACTATTGAGGAAAAATGGTGATTGAGGATGAGGAAGAAAAGAAGAAGAAAGGCATGTAGCTGCCTCCTTGTTTTTCAATTTGTGTCTTCCCCGTCCCTCTGTTTTTGCTTCTTTTTTTTTTTCCAGATCTGTCCTCTTTTTTCTTTTTTGTGTGTGTACATATAATAAGAAAGGATGAGAGGAGGAGTGTTGAAAATGAATGACGGGACAATGAAATAATGAAAAGGAAGTGAGATGTGATACGTGAATAGTGTAGTAGGTGGGTGATGGGACAAGGAAATAGTGTTGGAAAGGTCGGGAGTAATTTTATTAGATTTGGCCCGTGATTAAAATAAATTTTTTCGTCCTCTATGTAATAGACTTTGTTAAAAATATTACATATTCTCTAATAAAGTCTACTAATAAAAATAACATAATAAAAGTTAAAATATCAAGATTAAACCTAAAAATTATCAAATACAAAGAAGTGATAAAAATTAAAATATAGTCAAAAATTAGGTGCTCACACTTTTTGACAAATTTTGTTTAAAACAATCCTTTATTTGTCATGTTTGTCCCTTAGCTAGACAACAGAGACTCCCATTCCCAGATAGCACTATCAAGTCTACTCATTCTTTTCAACTTGTACATATTGATTTATGAGGTCCTCATCATATAAGAACATATAATGGTTTTAGGTATTTCTTGACTATTGTTGATGACTTTTCAAGGGTGACCTGGACACACTTAATTTCCTGTAAAAGTAATGCTATTTCTATTATCAAAGCTTTTGTTTTCATGGTCTAGAATCATTTTAACTCTAAAGTCCAAACAATTAAATCTGCAATGCATTTGAGCTAGGTTCCAGTTCTCAAATTTCTTCTTATTTTGTTGATTCTGGTATTCTTCACCAAACCACAATTTCCCACATTCCTTAACAAAATGGGGTTGTTTAGAGGAAACACAAATACCTTTTAGAAACATCAAGAGCATTTTTATTTCAACCTAAACTACCTGTCAAATATTGGAGTGATTGTGTGCTTACTGCCACCTACTTAATCAACAGGTTTCCCTCTAGTGTTTTACACAATTTGTTACCTTTTGAGAAACTTCATAGTCATCCTCCTACATATTCTCATCTAAGAACCTTTGGTTACCTTTGCTTTGCTACTTTGCCAAAGGTGGGTAGGGATAAATTCCAACCAAGAACATCTCCATGTGCTAAATCTTACATCTCATTTCATCCTATTCTCTAGGGATGTCATTTTTCATGAATATATCTTCGCTTACCATTCTTCCTCTCCCCCTCATACTTTTCCTGCTTCTCCTGATTCTTTTACAGATATCTTACCTGCCCCTACAACTTATGCACCTTCCCCTGTTCAGGTTCCTCACTCTATCTCACCTGTGGCTCCTTCTCCTCATGTTCCTCATGCCTCATCTTCTCCTCCTTCTACTACCCTTTCTATTGTTCCTTCCCCTGTACCCCTTAGGAAGTTCACTAGAGAATCTAACACACCTGTCTACCTTCAAGACGATGTCTGTTACTCAGCCATTCCTACTTTTCCTGTGAATTCCAAGGTTACCTCTACTGAGATTCACATACATGAACCTCAGTTTTATCATCAAGAAGCACCTTATCCTGCCTGACAGGATGCTACGCTTAAAGAATTTCATGCCTTGGAGGCAAATCAGACTTGGGACATTGTCCCTTTGCCTCCAGGAAAGAAGGCCATACCATGAAAATGAGTATATAAAATCAAACAAAGGTCTGATGGTTAAATTGAGAGATACAAGGCAAGGTTAGTGATTAGGGGTGATTCTCAGAAAAAAGGGCATAGACTATTTTAAAACCTTCAATCCAATTGTCAAGATCACAACTGTCAAGTGCCTTCTCACCTTGGCAGTCAAGCATGGTTGGGTTATCCACCAGTTGGATGTCAACAATGCTTTTCTATATGGGAATTTTCATGAAGAGGTGTACATGAAAATCCCTTTGGGCTTGTCTGTTGGTCCTTCTTCTTATAATCCTCCTTTGGCCTGCAAGTTGAAGAAATCCCTCTATGGTCTTAAACAGGCTTCCAGACAATAGTTTTCAAAGCTCTCACAACCTCTCCTTTCTAGAGCTTACTCCACTAACAAAAATGACTCTTCTTTATTCACCAAAATCATTGTCTCCTCTATTGTCATTTTGATGGTATATGTGGATGATATATCTTTAGCTGGAGATAATGGTCAAGTGATAGCAGACCTGGAAGCCTTTTTAGATCAGCAGTTCAGAATCAAAGATCGTAGTTCTGTCCACTATTTTCTTGGTCTTGAGGTTTCTCTGGTAGAAGGTGGTTATGTAGTCCATCAACATAAGTATACAACTGACCTTCTATCTGAATTTCATTGTCTGGATGCTAAGCCTGTCACCACTCCTCTTGTTCCCCAGAACAAGCTTCATATTGACTCTAGTGATCCTATTTCTGATCCTTCTACCTATAGAAGGTTGATTGGCAAGTTGAACTTCTTGCAGCACACCAAGCCTGACATCTCCTTCTTTGTTCAACATTTGAGTGAGTTCCTGGTGTCTCATAAAGTTCCTCATATGTTGGTTGCACTACATGTTCTCAGATAACTTGCCAATGACCCTGCTCAGGGTATCTTACTTAGCAGCTCTTCTGATTTCACTCTAAAGGCTTATTCTGATTCAGATTGGGCTGCCTGCCCTATTTCAAGGAGATCTGTTACCGGATATTTTATTCTTCTTGGTGATTCTCATGTTTCTTGGAAATCCAAGAAGCATCCTACTGTTTCGTTAAGCTCTGCTGAAGCTGAATATAGAGAATTGAAACATGTGGTTGCTGAGGTTTCTTGGCTGCTTAGGCTTCTTGCTAATGTGGGTTTGTCTATTACTTCTCTTGTTTCTGTTTTTTGTGATAGTCAGGTTGCTGTGCATATTACTAGAAATTCAGTTTTTCATGAGCGCACCAAACACATTGAAGTGGATTGTCATTATGTTGGGGATGTTCTTTCTTCTGGTGTGATTTCTCTTCACCATGTGCACACTTATGCCCAACTAGCTGATATGCTTACGAAGGCCTTAACAGGTGTTCCTCATCACAAACTTTTATGCAAGCTTGGTTTTCACTCACCCTCAAGCTTTAGGGGGGTGGGGGTGGGGTGGTAGATCCTTAATGCTAAGCCCAGATCCCAGATGAGCTTCTGAAGAGTTGGGTCTATTCCTTATTGGGCCATCTTTCATTTTGAACTTCAGGGATCCGACCCTTGTGCGGTTATTTTCATTTTTAGCCACAATTACTTGTACATATAAGTAGAGCCACTTGACTCTATTCTAAATTAATGGATTACATTTAGTTTACCCGATTGTCTCTCATATCTTCTCTCTCACCGACTTAGATAATTAGGGTTTTCTCTTCGATCCAATCCTCAAATTTCTCATTGATTTCATGGGTTAACATTTCCACATCATTCGAGAATTATCACGGTAATATTTGAAATTATGGTATGAGTAATATGTAAATGGGAGGAATAAACTTGATAAATCCCATGTCTCTAAATGACAAAAAAATATATGAGAAAAATATCATAAAACCCTAGGTATATATATAAGAAGGATATTTTGTAAGTTTAGTGGATAATGGCATCAAGGAAAGAAAGGAATAGCAGTGGTGTTATTCTTGATTCTTCAATGCCTTTAGGTTCGATATAGAATTTATGCCCAAGCGTTGGGCTAAGTTGCAACCAATACCGTTAAATTGTTGTCTACTTTTAGTTGTCAAGTTGTTAGCTCAGTAGTGCTTTCGATTCGAGTTTACTTTTGTGAATGAATTTTTACACTATTAAGTCACTTACAAATAATTATTTATAATAAGTTAAGTTACCTGGAAAAAAGATTTAACTTATAAGACCCAAAATGCTGACAAATTAGGGTCCTTTATCATCAAAAGAAAGATTAAAGGCAGTAGGTAATTCTTTGGTAAAATAGTCGCAGTGTTATAGGGGAAGAGGATTTTGGTCATATTGTAAGGTGAATTGGGAATAAAGAACATCAAAACCATTCTGGCCCATAGGATATCTGAGTGCGCTCTTGTATTGCGACAGCTTTAATTCCAGAAACCAAAGGCAATTTAGCTAGTTTGAAGGTTATATATTCACATTTCACTACAAGCCTACAAGTTGTAACATCAAAGTAAACAAACAAAATTCACCTTATTAACAATGTCGAATAGTACCACGAGTTCCCTCTATTTTCGTTTCAACAGGTTTAGAAAGTCATTGTCCAAATCTCGTCCATCATTTAATCTATCAAAGGTAAAGAAAACGCCAAGCATGTCGTTGGCTAATTTTCGCCCAAAAGCGGAGGAAATGAAAAGGGTTTTTGACAAATTTGACACTAACAAAGATGGAAAGATCTCACAAGAAGAATACAAAACAGCTATGAAGATGATGGGCAGTGGAGGAAATACGAAAACTTATGACGTTGGCGATGCATTTCAGGCTGCAGATACTGATGGGGATGGATTCATTAATTTTAAGGAGTTCATGAGAGTGCAGAATCTTGAAGGTGGTGTGAATCCAACTGATATTAGAAGCGCTTTCAAGGCATTTGATTTGGATGGTGATGGCAAAATTAGCGCAGAGGAATTGTTGCAGGTTCAACGAATGCTAGGAGAAAAATGTAGCTTGGAGAATTGCAAGAAAATGGTGAGAGGTGTTGATGCTAATGGGGATGGACTTATAGATATGAACGAATTTGTGACCATGATGACGCGCACCATGAAACTAGTCTCGAGTCGAGGGATCGATTCACTCTGCCAGTACATTAGTTTGTTAATGTTTATTGGCCTTAGCAACCGAAAACACAGTGTGAAATCAGGAGCCATAACAATCTTAATTTCCTTTTCATGCAAATAAAACTGGTCAACTAGGAAACTAAAACAAATGAAGAAATTGGGCGGAAAGGCAGAGGAAGGAGAACTTGATTCTAAGATCAAGTTGCACCTATTTGGTGGAGTGAGATTCTGTTCATGAATCATTGTTCATACTTAAAAAGGTAATCTATGGAATAAAGTTGCAAGAATCAACATCATTTCAAACCCACAATATGAGAAGAAATTCATATTATTAGGATGATGTTTCCATCATGAATACCCTCATCTTGAATAAAAGTCCAAAAGGAAAAGATACCTATCAAATTTTATAGTTGATTGATTCCCTAGCACTTCTAAAGTTAGTGCAAATTTAACAGCGAGTAGAGGATAGAACAAACAAGGCATCATATATATTGTAGAGCTAACAAACTAAAGGAGAACAGATGGCAATAATGAGTTGTTTCGAGTTTCCAGTGCAGCAGCCAAATAGAGATATGTCAGTGCAAGAATTCAAGGTGTGGATTAAGCAATTCGACATGGATCATGACAAGCGTATTAGCCGCGAAGAACTAACAGAGGCACTTCAGAGTCTACACATATGGTTCAGCTCATGGAAGGCTCGTCAAGTTATGAAAACTGCTGATACTGACCAAGTTGCACCATTTTGGTGAAGTGAGATTCTGTTTGCGTCATAGTTGATGCTTAAAAAGGTATTCTAGAAAGATTCTATTGTTAATTTTACTCCCTATAATTGTAGTCGGAATAAATTTAAGATTATTTGGAGAAGATTTGAGATGGTTTGATCGAATTGCATTGTAATTTCGAAGAACAATTTGTTGCACTTATCATATGTCAATTGGATAGATTTCGACAATTTAATAGATCGGTCGAATATAAATAACACAAAGTCATATAATAGAGTTTGGTAAACAATCACAAAGCCATGCCAACACTGACTTGTTCAGCAATTGCATTTGCTGAATTATCATCCTTGTATGATCGTTCTTCTTCTTCTATGGCTCTCTACACGGACTACTGTAGTGACCCTTTTTATCGCAATTCCAACAAGTAATGTCTTTGCGATTCTTGGATTGCCCTCTTCTCCTTGACTTTGATCTGCCACGACCATGACTTTGTCCTCTTTGGCTGCTTCTCCCCCTACTTGATACTCTTCGGCAAATATCTTTGCTTAGAACCAAGTCTCTAATATCATCCAATTTGAGTTTGGTACTTTCCGATGAACTCCTAACTGCAGTTACTGTTGCGGACCAATTCTTCGCTAGAGATGATAGTAGAATCAACGCCCTGACTTCGTGACTTCGTCATCAAATGTTATATTAACATAACTCAATTGAGTTAATATTACATTAAACTCATTGATATGTTCCGTAACAGATCCACCTTCTGTCATCTTTAAGTTGAACAATCGACGCATCAAATAGACTTTATTTGAAGCAGATGGCTTCTCGTACATATTTGATAACGCCTTCATCATACCTGCAGGTCTTCTCGTTAATGATGTTGAACGCTACATTTTGTGTCATCACACCAAGAGTTTGGCGATCTAATAGATCTCAATGCGCTTTGGACATATTCTTTAGTTTTACCCCGGTCAGAGGTAGGTGTAATTTTTTTATGGTACAAATAATCCTCTATCTGTATTTTTCATAATCCAAAATCTTTGCCAATGAACTTGTCAATTTTAACATTCCCTTATTCCGATGTTATTTCTTCACAAAAAATATTTCTTTTTATGTGAATAGTGCCTTTGAATAGTAACTGATGGTAGGCTAGAAATACGAATTTTTGGCTACTCTGCACCGATTATTTGCTACACTTTAATTGTATTGGAGCTAAAATATGGAAAACTTCTACTCAATATGTATTTTTTATTGTGTAAGTTGAGATTCCGGGCTAAGATAAATTTTTGGAGATAAATTGAATCAAAAGAGAATTTTAAAGTATGAGTAAAAATTTAAAAATTAAGTCGGAATCAAATTCGGAGGCCGAAGGACCAAGTAGGTATTTGAATAGTGAAAGAAATAAAAAGAGAAAGCAATAGTGGAGGAACTAATGGCAATTCAAACAAATATAACAAGCCACAATGGAGTATTCTCCAAAGTCATGACTATGACGTCATGTCCAAGAAGAGCTGCCAATATACTTTGTTAGGCAGAAACGAATAGCTCTCTGTTTTTGTCCATTGGCACGTCGTGCGGCGCGACGTGCCCGACGGCGTGTCAATGCAATATTTAGGTCTGTGCAATCCTATTTCGACACATTAAGGTTATTTCGGTTTAAGACTATTCCTATAATGTATAAATACACGGTAAACATATTTTTGAAGGTGGATTCAACTTAGGATAATTTTAGAGAGCTACCACGACTTGAAGACACAACAAGATTTTATCAATTCTCTTGCCAACAATCGGTGCAATACAGGAGTTTGTATCGTAAAGTTGTTTTTGATATTTTCTATGTTCTTAAACTTATTTGTGATAATTTTCTCCATATCTATAGAGTAGTTCTTCCCTAGGATTTTGACAGATATGGTGTTTTGAGTGTTATTTGTAAATTTAACTCTAGTTTAATTGTTTGAATATGTTTATGAAGCTTTGAATTAATTGCGAAATTATTCACCGTTTTATTTAATCGAAAAAAAGAGAATATTTTGGTGATTATCTTTGTATTATTTAGTTTGGTTTAATTTAGTGATTCTTCTAAGTAATCGAGAAAGCTTTTTGAATTATTGATTAAACCAAGTTCGGAGAATATTCGAGAGGCGTTTTTCTAAAGACTAGTCCATTAACGTGCTCTTGCATATTTTCACAGTGATTCATATTAGTTTATTTTGTAGAGTTCAGATTTAATCGACAGAGGAATCTCCATCTTATGTTTAAGCTAATTATCAAGTAAATTTGGGAGAATCATTAAAACATTAAAAGTGAATTTAAATAGAGTTAAATCTTGAATAACTATCTTACACCTATCATGGCATGACCCTTATTTCTCATATTGTTTACAAACCATTTTAGTTCAGCTCTCGTTCTCTATATATGATCAGGTCTAATTATTAGCCGTCTTAATTTAGTAGTTAATTGTAGTAGTAATCACTCCAACTCAAGTGTTGATCACTCTAAATAGCAACTAATCCAGAAATTACTCGAACATTATTTAAATCCAATCTTTGTGGAGACGATAATTAAACTATATTATTTTTTACTAGTGAGTATTAATTTCGTGTTGTGTTTTGTACTCGTCAGTAACCGCAAATAGTACTCTTTGTAGAAAAAATGTCTCAATCGTATAAGGTAGACAACACTCACTATTGATGAATAATACTATCACTATTAATGAATAGTATTTCACTATTGTGAATATTATTAGTATTGATGAGCATAGTGTCGCACTATTCTTGTGAATAGTACCAGAATTACCAGAATTACACTGTTTGTGCTCTGATACCAACTGTTGGGAAGCATGTCAGACTAATAGAAGGGTAAAATATTTAAAGGAGAAAAGTAATAAATTGTACAAAACAAGACAAGACAAGATTTATGTGGTTCGGCAATTTTTGCCTACTCCACGACCACACAAAGAATAACTCTTTATTATTTGAGAGAGAGAAGAATGTGAACTGAGAAGGGAATGCCTATTCATAGGCAGAGAAATCAACTGAAATCTTCGTCAAAATGTGAACATGCCACCTAAACTAATTTAATTCTTTCACATTTTGTAGTCTTTTCAAGACTTCCATTCTTTCTTTGTTTTTTTCACACATTTTTTTCTTCTCTTTTCATTTATTTCTTTCTTTGACTTTTCCATTTTTTTGTCATCTTTTCTTTCTTGTTCCCATCATAAATACTCCTAATGTAAAGGCACTGGACACTGAGACTGCTAAGCTTAATTCGTAGACCTAGATTTAGCTAAACAACTAAGATCAAGCATGGCTAGATCATCACAAGGAAAGGTGATAACTATTCTTAGCATTGATGGTGGAGNCAGTATCATTTATTCTTTTTTTTCCCGTTTACCATATTAGGCTTGATAATGGGAAGCTGACTATTTTGTAGGTTAACTTAATCTGATAGTATAAAAAATCTTTACATTATGAACTTATCTCTCATACATAATCCAAAAATCCCTAAATAACTATGGTATGAGTTATACATTTTTCTATTTTTTCCACAGAAACAGGACGGAAGTGATGCTAGGATCGCAGACTACTTTGACTACATAGCAGGGACAAGCACTGGAGGTTTAGTTACTGCAATGCTAACTACCCCAAATGAAAAGAATCGACCTTTATTTCTTGCAAATGAGATTACTGAATTCTATCTGAAGGAGAGCCCAAATATATTCCCGCAAGATAAAGCAAAGCCCCGGNAGCAAAGCCCCTGTAGGCATCAAAATTATCTTAATTACTCCTATATCCTTTCAACTTGAGAGTTTAGAAACGTGTCACATGAACATACTTATTTTACAAATAATATTAATTAAACAAGGAATACAATTTACACGAGTAATTCATGCTTTGAATCCTAAACTACCCGGACTTTAGCATTAATTGTAGCTACGCATGGACTCTCGTCACCTCGTGCGTACGTAGCCCCCGCAATTATCAATAATTATTCAATTTAATCCTTATAGGGTAATTTCCTCCTCACAAGATTAGATAAGAGACTTACCTCGTCTCAAAGTCCACTTTCTGATTATCGCGTCGCGTAAAATTCTCGATTCAATGCCGAAAAATCTGAAACTATCCAAAAGTTATATAAAATAATTAATATATGTTCAATAATTCAAAATTCATCGATTAAATAAATTACTCTATCCAAAATGGTAAAATTTTTAAAATTCACCCCAGGCCAACGTGCCCGGATTCTGGAAATTTTCGGATGAAAACGTTACCCATAATCTCAAGAACTCAAATATATAATTTCTATCCAATTCTATAACCATTTTCGTGGTTAAAATCTCATTTTCATAAAAATCTAGGTTTTACACCTAAACCCTTAATTTCTAAGATTTACTAGTTATAATCTACCTATAATCTATGTATTTAACTCAAAGGGTGTAGAATTAACTTACCTCAAAGTGCTAGGTGAAAACTCTCTTCCAAAAGCTCCAAGAATCGCCCAAGAGATGAAAGAAAAGTGATATAAATGGCCTAAGTCGCGCATTAAATGAGCTGGGCACAGGCCTCTGATATTGCATTTGCGACACCAGGTTCGCAAATGCGAGGGTCGCAAATGCGACACAACTCTCGCAAATGCGAAGCTTGGCCTTCAGCTGCTGGGGTCGCAAATGCGACCAAAGAGTCGCAAATGCGAACTCTGCTGGGATCGCAAATGCATCAAATGTGTCGCAAATGCGAACACTACCTAGATCTGGCTTCTTCGAAATTGCGAAGCCCTTCTCGCAAATGCGAGGTTCGCATTTGCGAACAATATCTCGCATTTGCGAGACCTGCAACTGCTGCCAAGAAACATCAGAAAAGTGATGTATTTTCATTACTTTCGAACGTCTGAAACTCACCCGAGCCCTCGGGGCTCCACTCCAACTATCCACACAAGTCTAATAACCTCATACAAACTCGCTCGAGCGATCAAAATTCCGGAAATAACATCAAAAACCAAGAATCAGACGCCAAAACGCATGAATTGACTTATGAATTCAAAAACTTCAAAAAAAAAAAGACTTTTGCTCGTCCGATTCCTATCAAATCAACTTGGAATGACACCAAATCTTGCGCACAAGTCATAAATGACATAATGGAGCTACAAAATTTTTCGGAACTGGATTCCGACCCCGATATCAAAAAGTCAACTCCCCGGTTAAACTTCCAACTTTAAATTCTTATTTTAGCCATTTCAAACCTAATTTAGTTACGGGTTTCCAAATAAAATTTCGAACACACTCCTAAGCCCAAAATTACCATACGGAGCTGTTGGAATTGTAAAAATTCTATTCCGGGGTCATTTTCTCAAAATGTTGACCGAAGTCAAACTTGGCCTTTTAAAGCCATCTTAAATAACCAAATGTCCCTATTTCAACCCAAACACTTTCAAATCCCGAACCAACCATCTCCGCAAGTCATAAATTATTAAAAGCACATACGGAAAGTTTTATTTTAGGGAACGGAGTACTAAAAGTCAAAATAACCGGTTGGGTGATTACATTCTCCACCTCTTAAACAAACATTCGTCACGGGTTTAGAATAATACCTGGAGTGCTAAATAAGTGTGGATATTTGCTCCCATGTCCTCCTCGGCCTCCCAAGTCGCTTTCTCGACTAGTTGGCCCCTCCACTGGACCTTTACTGCAGAAATCCTCTTGGACCTCAACTGGAGAACTTGTTTATCAACAATGGCAAATGGCTCTTCTTCATAACCCAAACTCTTATCTAGCTGAACTGTACTGAAGTCCAACATATATGATAGGTCAACATGATACTTTCGGAGCATAGATACCTGAAAAATCGAATGAACTCCCGCTAGACTGGGAGGTAATGCAAGCTCATAAGCAACCTCCCCAACTCGTCTCAACACCTCAAATGGGCCTATAAACCTTGGACTCAACTTGCCCTTCTTCCCTAATCTCATAATTCCCTTCATAAGCGAAACCTTCAAGAGAACTTTTTCACCTACCATAAAGAATAAATCATCTGCTTTCTGATCCGCGTAACTCTAATGTCTGGACTGTGCTGTGTGAAGTCGCTCCTGAATCAACTTTACCTTTTTCAAGGCATCCCTTACCAAATTAGTACCATATAACTTAGCCTTATCGGGCTCAAACCATCCGATAGGTGAACGACATCGATGATCATATAAAGCCTCAAATGGAGCCATCTCGATACTGGATTGGTAACTGTTATTATGAGCAAACTTGGCCAAAGGCAAGAAACGATCCCACTGACCTCCAAAGTCAATCACACATGCCCTGAGCGTATCCTCCAAAATCTGAACTGTCCGCTCTGACTGCCCATCGGTCTGTGGATGGAAGGTTATGCTAAGCTCTACACGGGTCCCCAACTCACTCTGTACTGCTCTCCAGAAATGTGAAGTAAACTGAGGGCCTTTATCTGATATAATAAAAATTGGCACACCGTGCAACCGAACTATCTCCTGAATATAGGAAAAGCCGATTGGACCAACGAAATGGCTCTTGTTGAGTAAGTTCACCTTCTACAATATATATATATATATATATATATACACACACACACACACACACACATTCACCTATTTTTTATGTTATTAGTTTAACTTCTATACACATTAACCTTCAATTGATCATAATAAATGGAACTAGTTACTTGGAAAATAAAGCAAGTCATCTCCTACAACATGTTTAATTATACAATCGTGTAAAACTTCTTTGCCAGTACATTATGTTTACCCGAAAAAAGGGACAGAGTTGAATTTATGCGCGGTTCCGAAGATACGTGATACAACTTAATACAGAATGCTAGGATAAATAAAAGTATGAATATATATTGGAGAAAAATGTAATCTAGGCCAATCAATTATGAACAGTAAAATTTAGGATTTAATAAAAATAGAATAAATCTAAGAAACTAGAAAGATTACTCTTGCTTGTAGAGGGGATAATACAATTTGTGATAGTGTAAGTCCTGCCATAGGTCCCTTACAAAAATGATAAACAAGTCCTTTTATAGTGAAAGGGTTTGGCTCCAAGCATAATAAAATAAATATTCAGTGGGAAACCCATGATAAATCAGCTTTTTCATAATTTCTGCCAAGATTCCCTCTAGTGGGATTACAACGGCTTTTGTCTGCGAGCCCGATCTTGCTTAGAACCCTCAATTTTGGTTCGAGCTTGATTTCGGCTCGAACTTGTGATCTTGACTCGAGCTCGATCCCGGTTCGAGCCCTCAAACGGATTCCTGGTCGATGTAGGTTGGTTTTTGGATTATCTGCACGATAGATCTACCCACGCCATGGTTCGATTCTTGTTCGAGTTTGATTATGATATCGATCTCAACACGGACCGGCCTTCCCAGGCTCTAGATTAGTTCGTTCCCCCCCCTTCGGGATCTTACTTCGATATATCACCCTTCGAATCGTACCGGACATGCCAAATCCATTTCGACCGTATACAGATAGTCCCCTCGTTTCTTAGAAATAAATACGGCGAGAAACGATATGATTTTCAACAGCTCGATCGGATTATATTCTGTTGATTCCATCAGGTTCGATCAT